AGCAACTGTATGAGAGCGGTTTGTCACTACTCGAACCTTTGTTGTTCTATCCCGAACCTGCAGGCAGAATGCTTTGGTTTACCAGTTCTAGGTTCAAAGGATTTGAGGCAGCGGCTTGACGTAAGCAGGACCGGTCTGACATCCAATTTGCAAGTTAAATTTCATGATGGGACCGTGCAATCACAATTTGTCCATGCACCCTTGTGAAGGTGCTCCGGAGGCACCGGTGAGTGGCCAATCAAGAGCAGTCTCCGGCAGAGCGCACATGACCGTGCAAGTTTCCAGCTTGCACGCCGGTGCCCCACGCCCTTAACTCGTGACCCCAAACCCAAGTCCTGAACCCCACAATGCACAGCTCCTCGAAGGAAGCCGGCTTTGACGACGCCCGAAGCCTCAATGTTTCTGACTGTCGACACATGTGTGGGTTGACCGGGGGGGGGTGAGCTGCTTCAGCCGGTCGACAGACGATGCCCCCAAGCTCAACAAGGATTTCTGAGTGATCCGAGCTACAGTTGAGTCGCATGAAGCAGCTTTGCCCAGAACCTCCTGGTTGGGTCAAAGGGGACCCAGTCCGCCTTCGGGGAACTGCGAGACTGGCTCAGCGCAGACTTCGGCGAGGCCCAGAGCCGCTCAGAGCATCGGCGGCGGCTGCAGCGACATCAGAAATCGTCGCCGTAATACTTATATAAAGCCCATGAAAACTGTTTTGATGAATGACTTGAAAATGGAGAGGAGCAAGAACCGACTCCCTTTTCCCATGCCCAGTTTTCGAGGACCAAGCGTATACTTGTCAAAGGACATGAGGAGTGCTTTAGACTTTTAGTTATCGGTAGTAATGGTATTGCAGCGACGACCTACACAGTGAAGACCGACGAACCTAGTACGAGCCGGTAAGGCGCAGGTGTGGTAGGGCCTGAAGCAGCCGCGCAGTGGACCTCTCCTGTCCTTAGGCTGTGTGCAAATGTGGGCACTCCGGCAGTTGGTCAGAAGGGACTTAAATTGTGCTTTATGACCCTTTGTTTGGGTCAGTTTACAAGGATTCGATTATTTGGGGTTTACATGTCACTACATAGGGGCCTTTCAGCAGCAACAAATACAGTGTGTTCATCAACCAACAGTAGCTGGAGAGCCCATGCCGACGCAGAGATGTGGGAGCCCTTGCTTCCTGCCGTGCGACAGGCTGCGTGCCTGCTAGCGGGAATGGGAGCAAAACCGCTGGCAGTGCGCAGGTTGGAGCTTCAATCGAGGAATCGGAATCCATGCACCTCCCCACTGGCAAGCCTTTAACTCTAAGCCTTAGGGTTCTAGAAGCTGGGACATGGATCATGCTGACATGCTTGCAAACACGTGCGAGAAGTCAAGAGCAAGTGTCGGACCTCGAGGCCGTGAGCTTCGAGGAAGAAAGGCAACAGCTGCAGGCAGGAGGGAGGGTCCAGCTTGGTGGTCAAGTTGCGCTACACTCATCAAAAAACAGCAATAGCGGAAGTAGCAGCAGTGCCGCCAGCAAAGACAATGGCTCAAACTTTGCAAGTTGCTCCTCGTAATCGCCACACCAACTTTCATCTAGATTTGGGTGTCTCCCTAGCTCCTACGTGCTTCCATCTGTTTACCCATCTTCCTCAAACGATTGTCCCTGCCGCTTGTTTTGATCGGATGTATTCGGAGCCCCGAAGTGCTGCTACAAGATCCCTGCAATGTTTCCAGATTCAAAACATGCGCAAGATGCGCTCGAGCATCCGGATGGCTGTGAGAGGATCGTTCTGCAGACCTCGGCTTTAAAATCAAGAGAGCAAGCCATTTGAGCTTCATGGGGTGCGCACCTGCGTGTCAGGACTTGAAAAAAAGAAATTGAGTGGAACTAGAGTCGTGAATCATCTTCGGTGTTGCACATTCGGTGGACCATGCACCCAGAACTGCTGATCAATATTGACTTGCAACTTCATCAGTTTCGAATCGATATCCACTTCTTCGGCTCCCGCAGTCTTGATTCAGCCTATCGTTGGAGGCACAACGGGCGCAAGCCCGAAAAACTTGAGTTCGGGCTCAGCTTAAATCCAATTTGGACGTTCGAGTGTCGTTTGGTTCCTGACTGGTTGTATGCATGTATGACATGACATGACATGACATGATATACTAGGCTACACTACAACACGATAGAATACGGCTTGAATCATGTAGTACGATAGATTTTATCTAAAGCCCCTGCGAACTGGTAAGCCCGAGCAAGTCAAAGCAGTGAGAACCTAATGTTCCTCGAAAGAAGTGCGGCTCCTGGTCCCTGGTCCCATCGAAGCCCCATTTCGGACCCTAAACCCCAGAAGCCTAAACCCGACACCCTAAACTTAAACCTCGTGGTGTGTGTGTTCCGCTTTGTTCCTGCCTGGACAGGCGAAGCTGGAGGATGTCCAGCGGGAGGTGGAGCTCTAAGATGCCTGTACATGAGAGGCCTTGTGCTTTTCTGCAGCATGCATACAAAGGCAGGAATCACGACAATACAGTTCTGAAGTGGCCAATCTTGGCACTCAAATCGGACAATGGGTTACTTTGAGTCTGAGTGAGTGCTGAAACAGTTAAACACCCACCACCTGCAAACCAACACTCAATCCTCGCACGAATGCGGCATGTCTGAGATATCTTTCGCTGGCATAAGACTTGGGTCAGAGACTCTGTCGAGAAGGGTGGCAGATGATTCCAGCTCCGACGGTTGTAGCGGCTTCTTGAGTTTGGCTTCTTCCACCCTGCTGCAATGTTGCATTTCAGATGCTCAAACCGAGGGACCCAGGGAGAAAACGGAGGAGGGATTTGTACTCGACCCACTCTCAATGAGCCCAGGTGCAGCAAGTAGAGCGCGACTACACCCAAAAGCTTGCGGGTGGCCCCAGTATATCGTCTTCTTGTTGAAGTGCGCAATGTAAATGTCGGAATGATTCCTAATCTTTTTTTTGCAGCTCCTTATCACCAAGAACCTATCCTAAGTCTTGACTTGAGAGTAGCCCTCCACAAGCTACGGCTACGGCACCCGCAAGGACGCACATCTGGGAGTTCTTCAGAGTCAGAAACCCTGGTCACACGCCGTCGCAGCCGTAATATCATCTGTCAGTATGCTTAGGGCTTAAGATCTTTGCTAACTCGTTATTATGCAGTGCTTCTCAAGTCTTGAGCAGTAAGTATGCATAAAAGCATCCACGACGTCCTAACTCGTGCAGGGCTTAAACTTGGCCATACTGTTGCAACACATCGCGTGTTTGGTTCGTAACCTTGTTTTCGAAAGATGCCGCACCCGCTTCAGCATCGATTCTCGGGTTGATGAACGTCTGGTTTGTATATATGGTCTATGCCCTATGCTCAGTTCAATGTACTGTACAGCACTATCAAGAAACATCGAACAGCTTGGAATGTAACAGAATAGAGTGCAACATGAGATAATAGATGAAGATCACAATTCCTATCCCGTAGCTTAGATTCGAAAAGAATTTGCTCCCGGCATCTCTTGGTGTTTCCGGCAGTATCCGTTTTCTGTTTGGGCACAGGGCTTTAGCATGTATCCGTCCAAAGGGCGAGCTGCGATGCTGGGCTCCAGATTCAGGGCAACATGTGCCGAAAAGGGGGCGACCTGCACTACGAGCACCTTCGGTTAGGGACAATTCCAATTCGAACACTGCTACGAGCATTAGCAAGTAACAGGACACTGAATATACCTAATTCCAACACACCCCGCAATCCGAGGCCTTGCTAGCGAACCCTACAGCCTTGCGCCTCAGTCCACCAAACTACTGCAGCCCAATCCAAGTCGACACCCGTTGCAAAACTTACCCATAGTATCCGAGTTTTAGCTCCACGTCTTGGCTACCTCCCAATTTAGCCTTCGGAGAGCCTGGAGCGCAACACCTGCGGCCGCCGATGGCCACGGAAGCGGCAAGCGTGAGACTGGAGACTTTCAGGGTTGGGGCTCATATAGGGTTGTCAGTTTTTGGGCATACTTGCACGTACCTGGGTTCACATACCTGGTGCTTTAATTCACAACCGGTTCCGTTTACGACCAGACTCCCTGCTGCAACAATGGTATAATGTTTAAGGGCAAGGATGCCACCATTTCGCACTGTAGGCTCGTCGATGTGTTGACAAATCGAGATGTGCCGACACCCCGAAATCTAGGCACCAAGCTCCAAACCCTCAAAGCCCGCGGAATTTCAATCAGCGCTTGCCCCGGAGGACACCTCCTCCGTGACGTGCCGCCGGCTCGGCAGCTGTTGAGTGTCGTCTGCGAGTGTCTGTGTCGGGGTCAAGCAAAGCTGAGTTTCGGAATTCTTGGGGTCATGGGAGACTGTCGCCGATCACGAGATGTGTGGTATCTCTTCGAGCCTTAGTCGCAAAGCCAATTCGGATCCGCCGCACAACTCCCCACGACCCTCGGATAACGCAGCCTCAGCACCCTTGCAACGAACACTGTCTAGCCCAGCGTGGAGCCTTAATAAGCTAGTGCTTATAGGAATGTTGTTCCTTCAGCCTATGTGGGTCTGCACCCACTAAGCTGTAATACTTCATGAACCCAAGACTGAGTTTGAATGACTCGCAACCCAAATAGAGAATTTGCCCGAGTTGAGGTCGTGCGAACGGCCTGGTGCTCAGCAACTGCAAGTACCCAAGGCAAGCGTCCCCAGAGCCTAAGAGCCCGAAAAGCCTTGAAGTTCAGGGGTGCAGATCTCAGCGCTCCGTCGGATCATTGCGGACCTTGCAGCAAATCGTCAACCTCGAAGGAAGGCGCCCGTAGCCGAGGCAGCGCGGTGCTGGCAGTGGAATGGGATCCAAAGGCGTGGCTTGAGGGGCTTGGAGGCTTTTCGGGATCCATGGGTCGAGGACGCTTGTCCTCGAATTGGTCTCGTAAGACTCTGTGAGGGGCTCGTGCTGGTTGCTCGCAAGTATTATTTGGAACGATGGCCGGCTCTAGGCCAGTGCCAAATCCAGGGCGCGTGACCCCCCAAACCCTCAGTCCCACCGCCATGGCAGTGTTGCCTGAGCCCGAACCGCAAGAGCTTGGCCGAGCTGTCGAGTCCCCTGACTATCAGCAGCAAGTTCCGGCTGAGCACTGGGCAGAAGTGAATGTGCTTGAACTTTGTCATGGCTTGGACTCGCCAAGGTCGCCAGAGCCTATCAGTGCACCCAGTTCGCCAAACGAAGGCACGAACGCCGACGATTGGATCGTGGACCTTGTTGCCAGCATGGAGCCCACCAGGGCCGAGATCATTCGGGGCGTCCCCGTGCACTGTGCCTTGCAGGGCTGTGGGCAGGCGATGCGTGGGAGGCAACGGGGACTATACCGACTCAGCCGTGCCACAACCTGCATCGACGAGTTTTGGTCCCACAGCTGGCACACATCCGCCTGGATGAAGTATGTCACCGTATGGTTTTTGAACTCTGCCACTATAGCCGCCGCCTTCGGCATGGGGGGAGCCCTCCTGGGCTTCATGCTGCGTGCTGTGGGGGTCTTGCCTGTCACTCTCGAGGGACCTACGTTCGCCGACTCGCAGTGGAGTGTTTTGAGTGGGCTGATCTTCTTCTGCGCATCCTTCATGTTGTGGCGAGTGCGAAGGCTCGTCTTCCTGGACATACTCTGCATAAACCAAGAGGACGAAGGTTTGAAGGGCGAGGCCATGATCAGCATGGGTGCCATCTTGAAGAGCTCAGCATCAATGCTTGTGTTGTGGGATCCGACTTGGGTACAGAGACTTGGCTCTCTTCAGGTCGACCGTTTGCGTTTCGTTGGTAGTAATAAGCCTGCGTGTAACTCAGAAGAGGTTCAAAAGTTGGCTAAGGAGATTCTGGTGTGTTTTCGAGCTGGCCTCGTTTCTTCACAGCCAAACAAAACGCGGAGCAACAACAAGCAAGCATCTGAGCATCCGACCAAACCTTATGGGACCAGTTCTTCTGGCAGGAAAGGTTGGCTTGATTGGTTTACTCCTCGCATGGCCACTCATGTTACAAGCATTCGGCAGTAGCGGCATGGTCATGGGGTTGACGCTATCGGCAGGCCTCTTGCCGTGTTTCCTTTGCCTTGCCCACGTTGGCCGAACTTTCTGTTGCAGCCTGGACACGCTGCAGCAACAACTCGCAAAGTTTCGAGTCGAGGACGCGAAGTGCTGGTGTTGCACTGTGAATCACGTGGACGACCAAACCGGCGAACCCTTACCTTGCGACCGTGATGTCATGCTGAAGTGCATTGGAATCTGGTTTGGAAGCAGTGCTGACTTCGAATGTTTGGTGCAGGGGCATGTAAGAACAACACTGCTTCGACAGCTCACCAGTCCAGTGTACCTATACCAGCAAGTCGTTGTGGCCACTAGTCCTGTCATGTGGTTGTTCTTGGATCGAGTGGCTCATCTTTTCGCAGTTGATCGCACGGACCTTGCGGTGTCGGTTTTCTTTGATGCATTGGCATGGTGGCTGTTGGCGATACCTTGCATCGTAGTGCTGGGTGTTGCGTTGGCTTACAAACTCCGCAGGAAGCAAGCACATTGCGTGCTGGATTTGGCGTTCAGCATTGCAGTGTTAGTGGTGGCAGCTTGCATTCTTGCGGCATTCCTTTTTGCCTACGTTTTCATTGACAACCAAGTTTCTTCCTTGCAGCTGGAAGCATACGCAGTCTTGCGCGCGGCTCTCTTTGTCCTCTTATCGGCCATACTTGCCCGCTGCGCTCTCCACGTGTTTTGGCAAGCTAAAAACCGTGCCATTTGCACAGATGCTTCCTGAGACTGTGGCAAGCATTGCCACAAGGCGGTCCTGCAACTAGATTTTTGTAAGTTGCACCTCCAGACAGCTTTTTGCCCTGCCTCCCCGACCCCACCAACCCTTCCCCCAATCATCACCATTGTGCATCCAGGGGTTGTATGAATATGTGGCATAAGGACTTTTGAAAGCTTAGTCTCTGTCATCTTTACCAGCTTCTTCTTGGTAGTTCATCTGGGCATTTGACACGGAGGACTATGAACAAGTGCCAGGGAACTTCGCGACCGTCTTTGCTTTTGATGAGTCGGAATCTCCTGCTGTAGAGCGAAAGCGCATGAAACAAAGCGCACGACGAGCACTCCAGTGCTTTTGGCTGAGCATGCACAGTGCAAAAAACTTGCAACGTTGTTTTTGTGCATCGACGGGTGCAAACTGCACTGGGCCCTTGATCAAATTAAGCCTCCGACTGTGCGGAGGCTGTTTGCAAGCATTGTCACTGGCTCTGTCGGGCAAAGCCTGGACATCCGGCAAAAGGAGAGCACTTTTGGTCCCATCTGGAACAGCTCTGATCAACTTTGTAGTGTTTACGGTTTGGAGAAATCCCGTGCTTGGCAGGCCGGAACGAAGCTCGCGTCTGCGTCGGCAGATGGGATTCTGCGCCTTTGGGAGCCGCGAAGAGGGGGGGGGAACCGGGAGAGATCGCCGCTTCACAGTCAGTGTGTGTTTTTGTGTTTCCGTATGCACAGAGGAAGGGGGTCACTACAGATATAACAATGCATGTGTGCATTCCTGGGTTACGAAGAAATAGACATGCACATGCCTTCATGCATGACCTTGTACATGCGAGTACCAGTAGTACAGATGTATGCACTCCGAGATGCATGCAATGCCTGAGGCCAGGAGCCGGAATGAATGAATTGCAGGCCCTGATTCTCAAGCCGCTATATGTCGATGGAGGCTTGAGGAGGTTGTACTCAGCCCTGGAAACAGGTAACAAAGCCTCGCTTAAGGGGGATGCGGCGTGGCAGGACCCCACCTCCGGCACATGCGGCGATCTGCCACCCGACAGCAGCAGGAGTATCAGTAGCAGTCGTCGTCGTCGTGGCTGAGTATTGGTGGTAGTAGTAGTCATCGTAGTCGTAGTCCTAACCGTGGTCTTAGTCGTAGTCGTCTTCGAAGTAATTAGTAGTGGTCGTCGTAGTCGAAGTCGTTGTCGTCGGAGTAGTAGAGCGGCCTGGCACGCCTGTGACAGCTCCGCGGGGTAACAGTCGGCAACCACGCTCCAAGAGTCCAGAAAAACTAGCGCAGTACAGATTGTCTAGTAGTAGTGGCAGTGATAGTCTTGTGATAGTGGCAGTGGTAGTGGGAGTAGCAGTAGCAGTAGTAGAAGCAGAAGAAGTAGAAGTAGTGGAAGCAGTAGTACCAGTAGCAGCAGCAGCAGCAGCAGCAGCAGCACCAGCAGCAGCAGCAGCAGCAGCAGCAGCAGCAGCAGTAGCACCAGGAGTAGTAGTAGTAGTAGTAGTAGCAGCAGTAGTAGCAGTAGTAGTTGCAGGAGTAGTAGCAGTAGTAGTAGTAGTAGTAGTGGTGGTGGTGGTGGTGGTGGTGGTGGTGGTAGTGGCAGTAGCAGTGGCAGTAGCAGTAGCAGTGGCAGTAGCAGTAGCAGTAGCAGCAGCAGCAGCAGCAGGAGGAGGAGGAGGAGGAGTAGTTGTAGTAGTCGTGGTGGTGGTGGTGGTGGTGGTGGCGGCGGCGGCGGTGGTGGCAATGCTGCTGCTACTGCTGCTGCTGCTGCTGCTGCTGCTACCACCACTACTATTGCTACGACTTTTGCTACCAACTACTGCTACTAGTACTGGTCTTACTACTAATATTTCGTAGGTTCGTCCTAGCCAGGCGGGAGGCAAAAAATACCAGCTGCTGCTAGGTGGGTGACAGAGCTATTTCTACAACAACAACTACTACTGCTGCTGCTACTGACTACGACTACTACTGCTACTACTGCTATTTCCGTCGTCACTACTACGTTTGTTAGTATTACTCTTGTTGCTGCTACACTGCTGCTGCTGCCCCTTCCCGCCCTGGCAATATTGCAATTCAAATCTAGTGTGGATGCTCTAAAATCAGAACGTATTAAACCAGGGACGTCCTCATGGTTGGGCCATGGATGCTCTAAACTTAGAGCGGATTCAACCCAAACTATACCCAACAGTGGCTTCAAGGCTGGAGGCCACGGAGCCCCGCGGCTTCGCCAGTGGCCCTCTCAGCAGCCAGCGCCCGCGTAAGATTTGAGGTTTGCGGGTCTGGTTTGCAGGCCGAGGGCTCTCAAGATCGAGGTATAAGGATTTGAGCCCCAAGGCCAGAGTCCGACCGGGGATTCGTCAAATGTGACCCTAGACTCTAGTCTAGTGATTTCGGGAAACACATGTCCTGACACTCAACATCTTCTTACAGCGGCAAAAGTCGCCCTACTGGCCAACGACCAAGTTCAAAAAGAAATCGTTACCTCTGCAGTCTACGGTTGAGGGCAGGAGCGGACTTCAACACAAACCTAAAGCCAGGAAATCTCCGAATGTGAGACCCCAAAGCCTATACCTGAGGCTGCATTTCCTGGGCTCCTGACGGCGTGCGACTGGCAACCGGCTATCAGGCCCACCCTAAACCCGGCCTAAGCCCCCCAAATCCCGACGAACCCTGGTGATCCACTGCCTGATGCTTGAGTAAATGCTGAAAGTTCGTGTCGAGCGATGCAATCTGCGGAGTACCCCAGATGCGAGGCAGAATTCTAGACGATAGCCCAGAACTTGGAGGGAACCCCAATCTAGAAAAACTCCACAGCAGCCAGGGAAGGGTTGGTTAGTTCGTAATTAGCAGAGACGGGTTGTGCGATCCATGATCAGGCTTACCGGCAATGATCCGCACTTTCCCCAAGCCACTCAAAGGTGCGACATGCGTCACGCTTGTAGTCCTTCAGCATGCGAGCCGAATTCCAAACTTTTCCAGCTTCCCCAGATCTTCGAAGCCCCAAAAACCCGGCACGAACCGGGGACCCGGGAAGAAGAGGATGGCGAAGTGGTGGTGTGGTATCCTCACGCCGCCTTGCCCACGGTGAGCTGCTCTGGGCATACGAACCAAGCGGGGGATCCCAACATTTTCCGATGCGTGTTTACTGTGTGAACGAGAGCTGCCTTGGCATTCTCGAACGTACTGGTTCCTGAGTTCTTCGGAAGGACCCCTGAGTCGAGTCCGGATGTTTGAAACAGATGTCGTTTTCGAGCTCAAGCCGTTGGTTCGGCGCGGCAGCTACCATCCATTGCTCCTCGTCTATCCATCCAGAGAGCAGTCCGTTAACGACCACGTGTCATGTCAGAGCGTGAAACTTGATGGCTCGTCAACCCATTCATATTGTAAGAACGCGAAAAGACAAAGTCCAGGAATCGAGGCGGGATGTTTGACTGTTTGACACAGTGCACAGGATCTCGTTTTGAGCTCATATCGAGTGTCCACCTCAGGAATCGATTCCCGACCGTTGAAACAGAGCAAGAGGAAGTTGTTTGCGATTCCAAGTCGTGCGTTCGTTGCGAAGACGGCGTTTGTTGCTGTTCAGGGCCCTTTCGGAAATGATTCCCGATTGTCGACTTGTGAAATGAGAGCAAAGGAATAGTATTTGGAGCTCAATTTGTCAGTTCGTCGCCAAACGACGTGGTTTGCTCCTTTTCTCACCCTTCCGGTCCAGAGTTCGAGTCTGTTCGAGCCTAGATAAGGATGTCATTTTCCGGATCCTTTCCAGGAATCAAGCGTGGAGATATGAAGCAGAGCAGAGAAGACGTCTTTTAGCATTCGTCACGAAACGGCACCGTTCCCGGATCGCACAGGACGTGTTGGGCAAAGAGCCAAGCAAGTGATGCACCCGAAAAGCGACGTAAATTGCCTCATTTAACTTGCCCACGTGGCTTTGAGAGGGCCGAAGGGGCGGTGTTGAGTTTCGGTAAAATCTTTTGTTTGGGTGATGTTTTTGTTCGGACGGTGGTGTTCAGAACCAGCCTCGTGGCTAAAGAACGCCCTCTCCTGTAGTCAACACCTCAAGCCTAAGGAGAACTGCGGGGGAAATTAAAAATCGACAGGATTTCATGAAAACGTCAAGCCGTTTAGCCACGGACGCTGAGCACAGAGCCCGAAAGTTCAGACCCGAACACAAACCACCTCGCCAGGGGTGGGCTGTGTGATCTGCCCAATTCACCGTGCTGTACTGAAACCGCCCAACACCCTGGGGCAGTAAGTCGGCTTCAACTGGTCCTTGCGGCCAAGGTCAGGTGCATTGCGTGGAGCCCACAAGGTATGCCCGCGATGGTCGGTGTTTTGAGCTCCAGGAACATGGATTCGGGCTTCGGGTTGAGATTGTGGTTCGTGCTCGACGGAAAACTGTCAAAGTTTGCGGCGACGCTTGGACTTCTGCCGAACAGTCCAAGCTCCACATGATAGTTCTTGCAGCCACTCCTGTAAGAGACTGTTTGCTTGAGTCCCATATTGACAGGTAGCTGTTTGCGTCATCCCTTCCATTGTAACCTGTAGCCGCAAATGTCCCCTTGATTAGGCCATGCACCCCAATGCTCAGCCCAGCACTGCCTCCTGAACTAGGCAAGGATTGCGTGGCTTCCGGCTCCCTTGATGGGACGGTGAGGACCGGGGGGTATGCAGGGATCTTTCCGAAGCTATTTGTCACACTGCCCCCCGCTTTCCGGATCGTCACGCTGTGTATCCGATCCAAACTGGCGGCGCAGTTGTCACGCAGAACTCCCCTCAAAGCTTGAAGCTGTGGGTTGAACATCCGCTGGTACCCAGAACCTGCACATTGCGAGCTTTCGCATTCTGACGCCGTGCGGAGGATATGGGAGCCCAAGAAAGGCTGGGCTGTGTGCAGGATGCCTTGGACATCCCTGTGCCCGACGAAGACTGGGCACGTTGCTGCACCCGACCGAGCTCCCAAACCCCGGTCCACGGGCGCTAGAAGCCAGAATCGATCTTGCTAGAACCCAATCTTGTCGAAGAGCAGTCAACTAGGTCCTAACTAGGTGCAAGAGCTAATGAGCAGAAGCCAGTGGAGCAGCGAATCTCGAATCAGTGCTGGGGGCAGGCAAGTGCTTGAAGACCTGCCAGGGCGATGGCGGATATGTTGGGCCTTCAGACGACAGACATGCCAACACCAGGGTATTATTCCAGTTTCAGCAGATTCAGTGCGTGCCGACATTGGCCGTTTCTTCTGTCACTTTCGGAGCTTGAGGTTTGTGAGATGCGTAATTCCGCGCAATGTAACACCCAAACCCACCTGCAGCCCCCTACTCATCGCCCAGACCCCGCACTCAACCGAGCTGTCTTTTAGGTCTACTGTCTCCTTTGGCACCCGGAGGCTGTCTGCTCTGCAGACATGTTTTTCGTTGGGTCAGGGTTTGGGATTCGAGGAGGGCTCACCGATTTCATGGAAGGTTTGAATTTAGATCGTTTTGATGCCTGTTCTGCTCCACTATTTGCATGTTTCGGTGCAAGTGCAAGGCTGTTTTCCGCACAAGCAGCAGGAGAAGGCTAAATCATCGTGTGATGCTATACCACACCTTCGTGCGGAGTGGCTAAGCGTGTGGGAGCTTCGGGCATTTCCGAGCTTCATTCAGAGCTCTAGGTGTCGTGCCAGCTGTACTGCTTCCTTTGAACAGTGCCAGGGATCCCAGGCCACGCACAGCCTAAGGCCGTAGCCCTAAACTCTCTCTGCCTGGTGCGAGTGCGAGAGTCGAGACTCTCTCTCCCTCTCTTTGCGACGGGTGCGGGGTCCCGGTGCGGATGAGCATGCTGGCCGAAGGCGAGAACCCTGAATCCTTAAGCTCCGCGGGTCTCATTCTTCGGGCACCGGCCACGGCCGCGAAGAGCACGGGCGAGCCCCGGGCTCTGGTGGCCGGCTGAAGGCCGACTGTTTTCAACCCTCGTTTGCAGGCCACATCCTTGGCCGCCGGCAGCACAGACGGCATTGCCCGGCTTTTCGATCCGCTCACTGGGACCTGCATCGTGCTCCACGTAGATCGTGGCTTTAAGGGGGAAGCTTCGGTCTTTTAATGTGGGGTTCGGGGTGTTCAGGAAGTGGAGATTGAAGTCTGTGTTGTGTTTTTGGTGGTTCGTTTTTTGATCAAAAGGGACCCAACGAGCTCCGTCTGCAAGCTTCCAGCCCGACACCAACACTCGCTCTACTTGTTACTGTAAGCACTAGCACTGCGAACTTAGCTGTTATGGCCATTAATCACTGTCGCACAGGTCTTACCATGCTGTTGTTTCTGCTGCAGCTAAATCGTTTGAGGCAGACATTGCCAAGCATCCGTAAACAAGCTTCTGGCTCACGACCGAATCCCTTCCCGCCCCTCCGACCTCCAATTCAACAGCTCAGTAAACTGCGGCGACACTGTTGGTGAGGAGTAACCCGCAGATGAGGACGATGGAACAATGCCGGCGACAGCTTTTACAAGCACATGGCACGTACCAAGAACAGGAACGACTGAAACTACAGTTGGCGCAGGTTTTTAGTCGTGATTGGGATAAGTTATATATATATATATATTCGTAATCACAGGGGTCCTGAAAGTAGTGACGTGGTCGCCTCATAAACGGATTCATGACTACATCGTATCCCAAAAGTCTGAAATCAAACCACTTTCAGGAACCCCTGAACGTTTTTTCATGAAGCCCTTAACCTTAAATTCTCCTTTCAAGATTCAGACGACTGAGGCCCAGGCCCATCTCCCAGCCCCCCCTCAAAGCCACAAAGGGACTGGCGGCCCGAGCGCTAAATGCAGGTGCGTTGGGAGGGCCACGTAGGCCCCATCTCTTCGCTGGCCTGGGGACCAGGCACAGCAGTGGCCGATGCAAATCCTAAACTCGAAACTGTAGTTCATTTTTGTCAAGACTTTTGGCTCTCAATGGTTTGAAGGATTTTGGGAGGATTCTGGCGCAGACGAAACCTTGCTTTCCAAGGGGCACGGGGCGAGGAGGCATCGGAGAAATATCTCTCAAAGGCATGGCAGCCTACCCTTGAAGTGCTCTTTCGTGGAGATTGGGCTGTCGGCTTCCTGTCGAAAGCTTCCGGGCTTCTCCCTACGCACTCCGGTGGTTAAGTTCAGGCTGCCGGCAAGATCTGGTCGCGATGGGTATTTAAGTTAAAACATACACCTATTCGAAGGCAGCCTGCCATGCAAGGTAACAAGATACAACAGGTTGCCCGCTTCAGGTTCCAGTTGCTTGAGCTGACTAGTTAGTAGGGAGGAATCTACCTTAAAGCCACTGGCTTTCGGGGCCCTGCAGGAGCCTCTCCTGCAGGATGCAAGTACCTCGAGCTTGAGGGTTTCATAAATAGAATACAATATAATCTAATACAAGCTATGATGCGAAACATGTTACAACATAATGTAGTACATGTGTGTATATAAATATATATATATATCTCTCTCTCTCTCTCTCTCTCTCTCTCTCTCTCTCTCTCTCTCTCTCTCTCTCTCTCTCTTAATATACATAGAGAGAGATCGGTTGAAGGACTCCGACGGCTCGTCCTCGGTAGGGCGATTGAGTCTCCTCAAGCGAAGACGGCTGCAGCGGAACCTCACAAGACCACATAAGGCAAGGAAAGGAGGCGTGTAGTTGAGCTTGCGAAAGCCAGGAATCGAAGCCTGAAGCCTTTCGAGCATCTTATACACCCTCAGGTTTCTCCGAAATTCTAGAAGACCTGTTCTCCTGCACGGCATTGTAGGTTCGACGAGCCTGGCGACCGGTTCGCATGATGGCTCTGCCTTCATCTGGGGCGTGGACACGGGCCGGCAGGCTTCGGGCGAGGGCTGTAAGGAATTCAGGTCCTCTTGTGGTGCAGTGAGTCAAGAGCTTGCTGTTTTGAGTGTGATGGGTTTATGACGGGGCTTCAGACAGACTGTACATACAGGCAGTACAGTACAATAACAAGCCGAACCACGAGCTTTGGAGTGATGAGCAGCCTTTTCTTAAAATGAAGCGATTGGAACTGTCATTCACCAAGCGTTGGCCCAAATCGTTGGCTTCTGAATTCTTTGTCGCGACCACGGAAGCAGTCACAGTGATAATGGTTACGGAGGATGGGAAGCCTGTGAAGCCAGAATCTTGTCCGGTCCGAGTTTCTGGTTCTGAAAGGTGTTGAGCAGACCTGAATGCAGCGGGATCCTGGCACAAGGGCCGAACAAAACATCTGTTCCTTTTTGCTACATCTGAGAATTCCTCAGCTGATTCGCAGAAACAAGTTTCAGGTTCCTTGAAGATGAGTTGGGGCTCACAGTCATGGTACTGCCCTTTTCGGGCCGTGTATTTCTAGTCTTGCTCTTGAAGTTTCCATAGCAAGCACCACTTCCAAAACCTGATTCCGCAAAGCCCGGCTGGGCTCAGGGTCCGGTTTCCACATTTTCTTCTACTTAACGGGAAGGAACTTTGCTAGCCTGAGACCCCCACATCAGCCCGCGCTCCTGGCAAGGTTGCATGCTGCAGCACTCCTGGAAGAGTTCGGACCTTGGGCTTTCGGCATGCATGAAAATTCTGCGGAGCCCAGCCAGCCTTGTGCGAGTGTGAGAGTCGAAACCCGTCAACCCAAAGCACGAAGGCCCAAGGCTGTGATTTCGTTTGCCGAGATCTCTCGATGAAGTAAAATCAGCGGCTGTTCATTTTTAAACTCGGGTGCTGATTACGGGTCTCAAAGAGATGTAGAGTGGCGGTTTTTATGGTCCAAGTGAATGTTCCAAATAGTGTTTTGAACTGAGCCTACGATAAAGCTCGGGCGCCTGCCGAGATCGGGCCAGGAATGCCTCGTGCACAGCCCCTCATCCCCCTCATCCCGATGCCCAGCATCACGCTTGGGCTTGAACATGCTCTTTCCTAGCCTCAAGCCGTAAACCTGCTAATCCATGTTCCGGCCAAGGTTTACACCATTGCTTGGAGGCTTCCTTGTCGGCGCATGAAGCTCTCAAGGTCTAAAGTCTCTACGTCTAAGTTTTAAGGGGTCGAAGTTGTATAGACCGAAGGGCCATGAATGTAACAGCCCTCGACCCCAAAGGCTCGTCCTTGCAAAGCAGGAGACAACGAGGCTTTTCCAAACAGCGAATCCTTGGGCTTTATTTCAGCAGGTGATTTGCTAACTCGTGGCAGCTTGCTCTTCTAGAGAACAGTTCTAGAATGTAGCAGGATGTAGCAGGTGCATTCTACCCCACCCACGAAGAGTATATTAGTTGCTTAGCCTTGTTACCAGGCCCTAAGCCATCCTTCCAAGCAGGAACGACTCCCAGCGCCCAAGACTGGCCACTGGATCGAGCGAGGGCAGCATCTGCATCTTCGATGCCAGCCTTGGAGTCTGCAGCTTGTCAGACTCGCGCCTGGGGGATTCCTGGTGTTGGTTTGGTAGTGCTGCTGTAGAAGCCTGAATAACCAGTAGCTATTCGCTACAGCTCCCTGTTCTAGCTCTAGCATGATAGTAAAACCTGTCCTGATTATTAAGACTCCTATATTACATGATGAAGCTGCCGACGGTAGCACTGAACTCCAGCACAGATTTTCCGACACAAACAGCTTGGGAGGTGGAAGCAGCGGGGTTTGGCAGTATACCGTCGGTGATAGTAGGTTTGCAGCAGGTTTGCAGCGTTGCCGGGGGTTCACAGAATCCGTTGGCAGCCAGTGGTGAAATTCCATGAGCCTGCAGCATGAAGCGGCCGAAGCGAGCTCTGTATGCCACCTACAATTGCAAGTCCAGGGTTGGGTGGGTGTCTTGGCTTCTTCAGGTTTCTGTTGCCTAACTGTCTTCCCAAAAGCTTTCCGTGAGAGCCAGGCATGACGCGATTTCAAGGACACTTTGGTGCAGTGCTGCTGGGCAGCATTCGGTGTTAGGCTTAGGTTCGAATAGCCGAAGTCTGGTTTCAGCTTTGAGTTCAAAGTTCAGGGCTTGGTGTGGAGTGTTCCGGGCCTCATGAAGTCTGACATTCACGTTGAAGTGGCGTCTGCTTGTCTGTCTGTTTGCCTGCCGAGAGTGAGAGAGACAGCGAGCGAGCGAGCGAGACAGAGCAAGAGAGAAAGGCAAAGACTGCATCCGTCCATTTGCGTGTGTATGCATCGAATCCATGGGCTGGAGAGAGGACAGCGAGGAAGAGGCGGAGACCTAGATATTCATACAGGACAAGAACTGGATATTGAGCGCATGTAAACTCAAAAATAGTGTGACACTGAACATAGTCTAAGTAAGGTGTATATGTACATATGTGCTTGTGTATATATATATAGAGAGTGCAACACAATACAGGCCCGTGTTTTTCGAG